GTTTTTGGAAAAATCGCATCATACCGCAAAATACCAGCAATATCAACCAAGTGAGTATAGCTCATACTAATACCGGTCGGCGTTATAAGTCATACCGGTACCGGTTGCACCTCCGAGCTCGAGCTCCATGAATCCAAGCTGTTTTTACTCAGACTCCAAAAAAAGTGACGCGCTATAAAGTTTGCGCTAGACTAATCAAAGTAAATTTGTTTGAAAAACGTGGCATATCTATATGATTAAAGATCACTACGCTATTTTGAACAAAAGACAATATATATTTAGAGGTTTCTTGGCGTTTCTGATGCCAAAAGTTAACATTTTATCCTGATCCAGTCCTCCGTCCTCGCTGCACATATCTCATGTTAGTCTCTGTGTTTAAGATCACCGAAAAAAAGCAGAGTTTAATACACGCAGCCAAACGTCTTTTGGTCTTTTATTCAGATAAATGAGGCCTTTCTGTCAATGTAGCCAAGTATTATCTAAATAACATAGTGCTAAATTCAAAATCCTACAGTTAGATGAAGCATTAACAGATTTTGAACGGATTTATTAGATGAACAAAATCACAATAACAAAAATTCATCAACATCGATTAATAAAACAGATCTTGTTCCCACAATGACAAATATTGGTCTAATATATCAAGATAAACATCAATATGAACTTGCTCTAGATTATCATTTTGATGTATTGAAAATATATGAACAACAAAACGAAGAGAAGAATCAAGTATTTATTGCACATCGCCTTAAGCTATATGAACAACGATTGTGATTATAAATAAAATATTTGTTACAACCAGCACAATTATACAAGAGATGTTTGCCAACAACAGATCATTTATTTCTTTTAATAATATTGGTCTGTGTTTAGTTTAACCTGAATAATTATGAACAAGCTTCGAATTATTACGCTGAAAGTGTCCGTAGTAGATAAAAATTATTGCCAACTAATCCTTCAGACTTGGCAAATAGTTTTAATAATATAGGTCTTGTCTATCAATGAACAAGTCAATATGGAAAAGTTCATTCTTCATTTGAGACAGGAAGTCGTTTTTGCTTTTACAAAGTTTTCATTTTTTTCTGTTTTCGTACAGTCTGCTTAATTTTCTTGGTTAAAATTCTAAAATTGAAGTTTAACTATGGTTTTGTAGAATATTTCATGGCGCATTCTTTCAAAATAACAGTAGCCGTGAGCTGCTAAAAAACACGGGAAAAACAGAAAATACTGAGAGGCTCATCATTATGACGCACCCGACAGAAACTTCCATAATACTACAGTCAATAATCGTCATATGAGATATCAATTATACTCACCAATCCCATTTCAGATGAATTTTAATTTGGTATATAATTAATTTTGTGGAACTCCCTCACTACCTTCGAACAAGAGGGTCAAAATGTCAAAAAAACAACATTCATATATTCCAACTTACAGTCAAAGATAAATGTTTCGTTAGAAAAAAGTTTCATCCATGTTTTTTTAAATTTCATTAGTATATTAAACTTTTACTTCAGTTCAGAACTAATTTTTTTAAGACTAGACGTCTCAGTATTGGGAGTTCCATCTTTTAGCACCTTTAGGTGCTGCCCTGCCTGTAATTCCATCAGAAATTTCCCGTATATGTGAAATATTCTTCAGACTGTCACCACGTCCGATTGGGATCAACTTGAAAATCATTGCTCTCTACCAATAAGCGATATAGAAGATATCTAAACAGATATTCATATACTTCAAGTCAAGTTCTTTACATATGCGTATGAAAAATTTCCAGAGTCTATATTCTATTTCTTGGACGACTATCAAAATATTGCCTTTTGCCGAGAAAGGTGGTAAAATTGTAAAGGTTTTTTTCCTTACACTATGCGATTTTAAGCAACAGCGATATTTGCAATCAATTTCTCTCTTTGTCAGCTATCAATTGCTATATAAATCAACTTTTGAATAAAAAAAGCTTATATCAACGTTTGTTTGGTGGTAGTGCTTGTATTAGTATCAATGCATGAAAGATGGTTAACTTTTGACAATTAGAAAAAAATGGCTATATTCCTAGACAAATTCAGATAAGCAGAGTTGTAGTGCTAAACGAGCTCTACAACTGGGCATTAGCCGTTTTTCAGTCGATGTAATAGTTGTTGAAATTTTCGACAACGAAGTTCAGCAGTAATCATACGATACCTGCGGTAGGCTTTTCACCATGTCGCGTTTAAGATACATCAGAAAACATTGAAACGTGCTCCTATGGGCTAATTTTACATGGAAATCCTGAATTTGATCGAAAAAATAAAATTAATCATATATCCGGTCTCTAGCAATGCCTCACATATGCTTTTGTATGACGCAAAACAAAACTATAGTTGCTTTAAGCACACTCATCGGCGTTCCATCAGCCACCATTCGCTCACTACACTTTTACTTGAAGCTATAAAATACAATGATCGTGTATGGCTTACCTTTCTAGTTTATAACATCTGGAGAGATAAGAATTATTTTTAAAAGAAAGGACAAAATGATACCATTATTTATCCGTAATCATTGTTTAGTCCTTTTCGTTTGCATTGTGCTGTAACTCTTGCTTCTTTTATTGGAAAAATCAAATCGGAAGAACTAAAACTCAAAGAATATATACAGAAGCACTATGATAATTATTATACGACCATTTACGTTTATTTTTGGCAGTTGAACGGATGCCATAGTTTTGCAACTGGTAAAAGTTTAGTTGAAAAACAAACAGTCTCAGTATAAACTTCTAGAAAATAGAAAGTTTTGTGGCTATTCCACATGGTCGATTTTCACTGTCAGCGCGAGACTATATTATAAGGAGAAGGGTTATTGCTGGGATATGAACGAGAGTTCTTTCTTTTGTCGATTGTTAAAATAATCCTTCGTTCTTCTGGCTATCCTCGCGCCTGTCGTTTCAATACACATATTTACTCAACCTTTGTATTTTTATACTTATCAGTTTTTATAGTTATTATTTGAAGTACGACACTTACATTTTGGAATAAGAGAAAAAAACCGTAGCGCATTTTCTTTTTCTTTTTTAACGGAAAGTTTGCTTTATAGTTTTGTCAACCTTATTTTATTTTACTGAACACCGTACTCGTCACGAATGTTTGCCGGAGTTTAAAATAGCAACTTTTAAGTATTTGTGTGTTTTGAATAAAGGCTTTTTCAGAAGCAAATAGAAGTTTTTGCTATAATTTGGGAGCCTTCTTTAATTACTTAAATCGAAATTTCCTGATTATCTTAACTAAATAACATTCACTCACTGTTCCTTCATCAAATCGTTGTATTTTCCTTTCAGAATTTAAATAGTCAAATCTTTTAGATAAATGGCTTCGAGCAGAGATTCAGAGGTGGAAAAATTAAAAGGTACATGGGATTATATTGATGGTGAAAATTTTGATGATTTTATGAAAGAACTCGGTATGTTAGATAGAAAACAATTAAGCAGTTACAATTATTTTCTCGTCGCTTTAGGCATTTCCTGGGTGGTGCGTACAGCAGCGAAAGCAGTCAAAAGCGAAAAATTAATTATTATTGAAAATAAGAAAGAATTTAAAAAGGACATCTCTAAAAAATAGTTTCAAATTGGACAAATCAGAGCAAGAAGAAAATGGGCGCAGAAACAACAATTGCATGCACATTACTTATATGAATGTTCCCTAATGGAAAGTGGACATTGCGATCCGAATCAACTTTTAAAAATACATCATATGAATTTGTGCCTGGAGTCGAATTCAATGAAACACGTGCGGATGGAGCAGAAGTCAAAGTAAGTAGAATGAGGAGAAGTTCTGATGAACGTTTCAGATGAAGTCGTCTGTGTGAAACACTCCACAACTCATTTGAATGTAATCTTTTTAAACAGTTAGCTTCTAAATGAAATACCTGTAGTTGAAATATTATTTTATCGGCGCTCGAAAGAGAAACAGATTACTGCTAATATTGATGAAGAAAAGAAAGCTAACTGTACGGTCCTCAAAAGTAGAAGAGATGTTTCTACGAACTGAATAACTTTAGGACAAGACATATTAGCATTTACTGATTTACTCTCTTTATAAAGGGCACAATAACATTCAGTAATGGTCGTTGGGTTCATAAAGCAGTTGATAAAGACGGAAAAGTGGCGATGGTTGAACGTTATATTGATGAGAAGGGCCAACAGCAAGTAGTAAGTAGCAAGGCCGGAGAAAGTCGATCAGTATTTCTGCAGCTATCGTCATCTATTTTGATTTCTACAGGTAATGACATGTGGTAAAGTCACCGCTAAACGTTGGTACAAACGAGTTTAAAATTAGGAAGCATTGCAGCTTTTAACCAAACCTTGACGATTATGACGATAGTCATTTTACGAGTAAAAACTTTTTAAAGTACCGTGGATTAGTTGTTTATATTTAGGAGTATTATTTAATATTGTAGCTAAAATTATTTAAATCACACTAACTTCGTCAGACTAAGTTAATCTTAGTTCTGATTAGTTGCTCGCTCATTTTTTCCGATATCGCCGTCTAAAATAGATACTAACCATTTTATCTGCTTAAACAGTATGGTGTAGACACGAAATAAGCGAGGTGAGAGGTGTCTCATCATACCAATGCTCAGTACGAAAGAAGAAAGCTGCAATCCAGCAGACATTTGGAGAAAAAACGAAAATGAGCGCTTTCGCGATTTGAACAGTGTCATTTATACTTTGGTTAACGGGCCGATTTAATGGTGAAAAAATTTCTATTCCTCTTGTTTAGATTCTTGGAAAAATCTTAGGCGACAGAAAAGGTCAGCTTACAGCCACCTTGGAAAAAAACATCATTTTTCGTAAACGATGGAAAGAAGGGAAGAATAAATCATACATAGTCTGAAACTAGACCTCGTGCTCTGTCGGTTTCTAAAAAAGTTTTTGTTTTAACACTTTCCGATCACAAAAGAGTGCTCCTTCTTTCTCTATTAAGTGTTTTCTCAAAAGACGTCTTCAGCAAAGTGAGTGCGCGAACTTTAGCAAAGATCAGATTTTCAAGAAACTTTCACACACTGTTCTTCTCTATCTGAGACATATCCTCACTTAGTCCAGAATAACCCAAATGCTTCTGACTGCAGCCTGTATAACTTATATAACGATTCGCTCTGAAATTTCTATAAAAAAAAGATTTTCCGCAGAACCTTCTGGAAGCTTCGGAAAAAACTTTTATGATTAAATTTGAATTCAGCACGCCCGAAAACCTATAAAAAACTAGACATCTTTTGAGACCACTTTGGTAAACATAGGCAATGCAACGTACCCCGCTGCAATGTACCAGTTGGAAAGAGCAGATCCGAAAACCTATAAAAACAGTGTTTGTAAGCTTTCGGAGTGATCATAAACCAAATGTCTGCTTCCATAATCAAAATTGCCCACTGCGCACTGTACCCTTTCTGAACAAACAAAGTGAAAAAAGAAAGAATAACATTAAAAATATTCTTACTTCCAGCTGAATAGAGAGAGAGAACGCAATTTCCATAGTCTTATTGATAGTTAATTCAGTTTTCTTGTACACTTTCAATCAAAAGAAGTAAAGTGTATGGTTGCGATGATCAGTTAAAGGTGACTAAGAGGTAGAACTGTTTTTTTCCAACGACGAATTTAATTTTTTCTGAAATTGACCGGTCCGCTGCTACTGATACTTTTTTTACACACACCATAATAGAGACCTGCAACCCGATCCGACCTTAACCCAGGTTCGGGTTAAGATGTTATCGAGTCAGATTGGGGTAGATCATTGTGCGGCGCAATTTAAAATATGGATAATAATTTCAATAGAAAAGTTAACTCTACTGGAATTTTCAGTCGAAATACTTATTTCAGAACAACTGCATTCGCCAACTAGGTAAGGTCTTCAGATGCTCAACTCCGTTTTTAATGATATTACGCCAGTTAATAGAGGAACGTGAGGAGATAAAAACCCTCAAAGGAGGACCCATATCAGTTCTTTCAAAAGTCAGGTTTTTTTTTGTTCTTAAGGAACACTGTGTGTAGTAACAGTAATAATTCTAACCCAGTCAGAACAAAGAATTAAGAGGTGAAATTATCTTTTGTACTTTAACTAATAGTCTGCTAATATTACAGAAAATTTGAGCGTTATATTTTCCTATGTCATTGAACTTTTCTTCCATAAGAAAAACAATGTTTTTCCAAACAGCACAATTTTTAATGATAACATTTCTCTTTTATTAGAGGTGATATAGCGAATTTAGAAAGATATAACGTTCAGATTTTCTGGAATAGTAGCAGACTATAAGCAAAACGTCACTCACTTGAAATGTGATGCCCTCCGCCAAATAAATAGGTAAATAAAAAGACATAAACTAAAAAACAAAACAAAAGAGTAGAAATTTATCGGGTCGGGTCGGGTTCGGGTTAAGTTGTTGTCGGATCTAGTCGGGTTTGGGTTAGATGTTGTCAAGGCCGTTTATTGTCTAAAATCAAGAAAAACTCACGCAAAAGCAGGAGTTTGCTCGGAGATATAGCTAACAATACAGGTATTAAAACATAAACCAAAGCGAGATAGAGCCGAAAACCATATAAAACCATATATGGATTAAGAAAGAGATTTCATTCGGGAACTAACGTGTCATGCCATGAGAAGGTAGTATGGATATGCTGTAACAGGACGACTTTGTGCAATGACATAGTACATTTATGTATCTGTGAATTACTCAATGCCATTTTTATATGGGTAGCAAAATCAAGTTTTGTAACAGAACATGATCAAACGTATATTAATAAAATTTTGAATTCAGTATCAATTCGATCCTCTGTCAATGAACTGTGAACGCAAGAACAAGCGCCACTCACACCCTACTTATACATCATAAAGGAAAATTTTTGAAGTTATATCTGCCTAAGTGAAACTGTACAAGTCGTCAGTATCTAAACAGTCACCACACATAAGCATAAAATACAAGATTTTTTTGTTACTACGCTTACTCTGATCAATTAACGAAACAGAATGAATATAATTAAATAATGTTGTACTTGAGACAGAAAAAAAAGTAATGTTTTAATAGCCTGATTTTATTCGAAATTTTGTTTTTTTGTACATTTTCATTTAAAGAAAAAGGCGGTACGGTACACAACAGTACGTAGGCAAATGATAAATGTTTAGTTAAATGTGAGGAAGATGGAGCATTTGTTGACTTGATGTTTGATTTAATTATTGTTTCTGTTAGGCGAAAACATTTTAAACTTTTTCACCACAAATGCAGATCCTTTGCTCAATATCTAAAGATTCATCTCACAATCGCAGACTGATAACAGTTAAAGTTAGTTGAAGTAGAAAGTATAGTTATTTATTTTATCTTTACCACCACCGTTTAAAAAAAAGAACAGACCACAATTAGTAAAAATTAAAAGAAAAAAATATATGCTAGAAAAATAAGAAGAACACAAATCCTACAAAAAGTAAGAGACCACACAAAACAAGAAATATATAAAATATTCTCATAGTTTTCATGTTTGACTGTTCAGAATCACCGTGGCACGTGTGTTGTTGCCTTGGCTGAAAAGTTCGCAGTTGCTTTCATACTCTTGACTGTGGTTCTCTTCTAGAAGGTCCTATTTTTTGTTCCAATCAAGCGATTTTCGTCCGTATAATGTTGTGAACAAACGTTATTGAGTAATAACCTATGTGCTGCAATGTCGTTTTAATAGTTCGATGTAACAGTGAACTATAAAGTTGGTAGAACCACAGTTGTCCACCATTGTACTAAGCTCTTTTTCCTTAGGTGACCGTTTTAACGACAAGAGCAAAATAATGTTAATCATAAAAAAAATGGTTGTATTTTTTTCATTCACTCTTATCTAAAAACTTAGTCATATAAAATGCATAAAAAAGATAATTTTAAACTAACACTTCTTTTTTCTCCTTCAATAATCTAACTTTTTTATCAATAAAATTTAACAACATATATATATACATATTCGATTTTTTTACTTTTCTTTTATTCCACCAGGAGCATCGAGTTGTCACCTAAAGGAGATTATATGGTTAAAAAATTTACCTGTATGTAAAGTTCGATAAAATATTTTATATAACGATAAAACAGTCCAAAAAAGGACTATCCTCAATAACGTAAAAATATGGTTATAGTTTCAATAATGAATCTTTAAAAATTCGGAAGCTTTTTTTAACAAGTTATTTTACATTCTAGCTGATCTATTTTGCAGGACAGTAAGAGGTGCAGTATTCACAGTAAATAGCTGGTGGTTAAAAACATCACACTTCTGTCAACAAAAAAAAGTTCAAACGGATGGGAGATCTACCGGTGCCGATACCGGTATATATCGGTATATATATGATACCGGTGGTGTCGCGCAGGGTACCGTTTCGATCGACACATTAAGATATCGATATTTTTTACCCTGCGTACTGCGACAGAACAATAACGTACTGAACATTTTTGCAGACAGATGATGTGCTCGTAGCGATAGTGACCGGTATGAAATTCAAGACTGTTGAGTTTATTAGAAGATGAGCAAAAATTTTTTTTCTGAGAGTTTTCCTTTTTCAGAAAATTGGTAAAGAAAATCTATGTACTAATTAGCGCGTTTTTGAAAATGTTGATTGCTTATTTCGAACAAAAGCGATCGAAACACTTCATTTTGGTATTTTCTGAAGCAGGAAAATGCCAGCTATTCGACGCTGAAAAAATTTTTGCTTTGTCTTAAAAAGTGTGGATAAGAAACTAGTAGTTTTCCCAGAAAATTCCTTTCCTTCGCTACGTTACCGGTGCAGTCGACTTCCTAAATTTTCCTAAACTCTAATAACGTTCGAATTTACATTAAACGTTCATCTCGGTGTCTTACATCCATAGCGCATGCGGCTTTATGGCTAGACGGAGATACAGGTTTTCCAAAAATCCCGATTTTTACGGTAAAGTTGAATTTTCCTATATCAAAAACAATTTTATCAAGGCAAATTATTCATATTCGGAATCATCGTGAAAAACTACATCGAGTGATATATCACTTATTGGTTCTACAAATAAAAAATTATTTGAAAAAAGTTGAGGGGACGGTTCCTTCTCAGAGATTTTTCATCGGAAAAGAATTCGATTTTGAATTTGACTTTTCTTCTTTTAAAACTTGATACCTAATAAGACAATATTATACGAAAATAATCCTTTTTTAACTCATAAAATCAGATGTCCGCGCTCTATGAAAAAATGCCCACTGTGAAACTACTGGTCAAATACTGATGTGGGTTGACCGAATATCGGTTTAAACCGGCACCGAAAAAATCACAAACATCCGTTTTTTCGG